CGTCAAGTGCACGTCGACCTTACCTGCTTCCCCCGTCCCGCGCCCTCGTCTCCCCCACTCCCGGCCTACCTTTTACTGCTCTCTCCTTCAAAATGATCAGACATGCACCACGGAAACTTTCGATCGAATTAATTCAAAACTCTTTTAAGATTAATCTTGCTACCACCTTGATCCAAAAGGAACATTCAGTCGCCCGAAAAACAACATCAGAAAAAGTACTTTATTTTTCAAGTTTATGTAACTTTGTTTCACCTCTTGACACTGTTGTCGCTTACTTGTCTCCAGCTCCCTTGTTCCGTGCTTTCCCTCCCTTCATACGGTAGTCAATCATCACCGCCAATGTTTCTGCTGGCTGTGTGTCCAGTGCATGAAAAGCCTCCTTCACCTGCTCCGGTGCCACGACACGAGACGTCAGCGTTGTGGAAGGCCGAATCTCCTTCAACAGCCGCCAGGCCGTCTGGTACCTCCTCGCCTTCGTCCAACGATCCTGTAGCTCGGTGCTTATGCGGCTTACCTGACTGACATAGAGCCGCAGGTGGCTTCGGTGAAAGGTGAGGCCGAGACGGAGGGCGGCAGGTGTCTCATGATTGCCATACCAGGACCCGATCACTACTTTCCCCCCGTACCCAGTTTGATCGATGGCTGTCTGCAACCCTGCGGCCACACCCGATACCTCAATGCTGGTGTCGGCCTCCTGCACCCCCTCTTTTTCCCAGGCCCCTTCCTCCCCTCCCCCTGCCTCTCTCCTGTCCCCGCCTTCTTCCCTTCCTCCTCCTCCTTCATCCCCCGCACCTTCCTTCTTCTTGCCCGTCCTAAACATTCCCGGGTCCACGGCCACGGACGCCCCCATGCGCCGAGCCAGGTGTCGCCGAACTGTCAAGGGGTCAACGGCTCGGAGGCTTCCCAACGGAAAGCGTTTCAACACGGCGAGGACCAAAAGGCCGATGAGCCCGGCCCCGACCACCGTGACGCGCTCGCCTGCCAACGGCCGCGCGTCCTGCACAAGGGAGAGGGCCGTCTCCACCGAAGGGAAGTACACGGCGTCCTCCGCCGAGATACCCGGAGGTACCACGAGCAAGCTACTCGCCGCCACCACGGCGCGGCTGGCGTGGGGGGAGAAGGCGAAGACTAAGGGCGCCGCACCTTCCCCTCCTCCTTCCCTCCCCATCAACCGCTCCCGGTCCGCGACGTCCGCCCCGCACCGGACCACCCTACCGACCAGAGCATAGCCGTACCGTAAAGGGTACGCGAGGGTCTCCCCCGCCATGCCCTTGATGTTCACGTCCACCTCCCCTGCCTCCTCCCCCTGTGGGATCTCGCCTCGGTACACCTTCAGCTCCGTCCCGCTGCTGATGAGAGAACACAGGGCGTCCACTTCCACCTCCTCGCTGCCCAAGGCCGGCTTTTCCCGCCATATTTCCTCCCGGCAG